TAGAAAAAATGCAATATAATAATTTTTTATTTTATAAAATATTATGGTCAATAACTATTTTCATAAAAAATCTAGGTTAAGTTAAATATTCCATCTATAATTTGTCCATTCTTTTTATTTTGGTTCGTTCTATATAATTTATTATTTTTAAAAATATATATATATAATTATACATTTTAATTATATTTTAAAACTGAGAACGGAGAGAGTAAGTGGAATATAACTACCAAATTCAATTTATTTTTTGTTTGTAAACATTCCATGATATGTTGGGTAAACAATTAAATTGATATTTTTATGTTTAAAAAAAAGTATATTCTCTCTGTCCGCCTCTAAAATTCACAATTACTTTTTGTGTCATTGTACTTAATATTAAAAATATTTTTATATTTGTATAATTTTTTTTTACAAATGTCATTCTATTAGTATTATAAGACACTAATTGAAGTATTTTTGTAATTTTTTTCTTAATTTGTACTACGTATTGATATAATACTCCCTCCATCCCATAACTAAATAGTCATTTGCTTTTTGCACGTAATTTTAGAAATATTAGTATTATATTTGGATGTAGTAGGAATAAAGTAGAAATGACTAAAATAACCTAATTAGTATGTGTGATATAAAAGTAATGATATTTGTGTAATATATTGTAAGTTGTAAGGGTATTTGTAATGTTAGGTAGATAGTACAGTTATTTAAAAAAAATGAATACTTTGTTATGAGACGGACTAAAATAGAAAAATGAATACTTTGTTATAGGACGGAGGGAATAATTAATATTCAAAAATCAACCCGCAAAAAGTAAATGAGACCCTTAGAGACGGACGAATGTAGTATATATTTGTAATATTCAATTTAATTTAAAAATTTAATTAAACCAAGTTTATAATTAAATTAATTTTAATTTAATTATTAATTGGTTGAAAAAGTAGCACACAATGAACGAACAGAACGTTTCCTCAATTAGTCATAGATAGTACTCCCTTAGGTAAGATTCCGTTTGCATCACACAACACACTCGGACCACAAGAAAGTTCTAAGGCAAAAATCAGGTTTGAATTTTAATTATTATTATTATTATTATTATTATTATTATTATTATTATTATTTAAATATATATATATATTGACAAGTTGAGTTTTAATAGACACAAAAGAAATTTCCTGAAAAGTCGATTTAATCAATATTTTCAACTAGCGGTCTCTTTATAAAAGAGCGTGTCAACAATTTTTGTTTGCTTATATAGTTACCTATACATTTGTATTATCTATTAATTTTATTGTATTTTTTCTTAAAGAAATATACTACATTAAATAGTATATATATATATATATGGTGAGTTAACGAGATTATGATGAATAATAATATTTTTTTTTTTTTATCAAATTTTATCTTTATTTTAATATATTAAAACCATATATAACTAAAGGTCTGATACAGTTATACTAATTTATAATATTATTAATACAATCTGATATCCTAATATTATTTAATCATATGTAATACTTCTTTTTTGGTTCTAAAACTATAGTTTTAATTGGGTTGAATACTAAATTTAAAGAATATTGATATTATACTGGTAATTGGTAAAAAAATATGGATAAAAGATTTTTTTGCTCTTGTGAGTGTATTAGTGTAAAAAGTAGTGATAATTGTGTAATAAAAATGAAAAAGTAAGGGTAATTTTATGGTGATATAGTTATTTATGAAAATAAGACTATTGTTTTGGGACGAATAAAAATGGTAAACAAGACTATTTTATTGGGACGGAATGAGTAAAATATATAAATTACCATTTCTTTTAGACACCAGGGGTGTGTTTTGGTATAGAGAAATGATGCCAGAGAAATAGAAATGGTCTTGTTTGTTGGATTCAGAAAAATAGAATTCGACAAATAAATTATTTTTATTTATCTATTTTCATTTATCTCTCATATGCTGAGAAATGATGTTACATATATATTTTTTTTAGTTTTGTTTATCTTTTTTGTAATATTTAATTTGTATACTTTTTTTTAAAATTATATTATTTTAATTTTACAAAAATCAAATTTAATTTATTGTTAAAGTATTTAATTTTTATGATTTTTTTAAAAAAAATTATACTAAATATAATTTTAAAAAACATCGTATATAATATATAATTTTTTTACTTTTTTTATCTTGTTAATCATTTATTCTTATTTGATTCATTCATATAGCTGCATTTTTTTACATTTCTCAACTTAATTCTCTGTTTTACCAAATAAAATAATTAAATTTTATTTTCTATTCAATTCAATTTCTCTCTAATTCTATTCTCTATTATTATTTATTTGCAATTTAATTCTCTCTACCTAAAAATATTTTATATAAATATAATACACACTTCGTCTCATGAGAAGGATATCACTCCCTCCGTCCAAATAAAATTGTTTTGTTTTTTCAATTTTGTTCGTCTCAAAACAATTGTCTTATTTTTTTTATTTAGCAATCGTTATCCCCATTTTATAACAAAATTATTCTTACTTTTCAAACTACCATTTATTATTACTCTAACATATTTTTTAAAATCATTCAAAAAACAATGATATTTTAGTATTTTACCTTTTACTTTATACTCACTTTCAATTAAATAATATTATTTCTTAATTTCCGTGTCAACTCCCAATAATACATCTTTTCTGGGACGGGGAGAAAGTATTTTTTATTTTTATTTTTATCCATCCGAAAACAAGGATAACATTTTCTAATTTAGTAATTGTACTATTTACATAACATAATAAATACTTTTACAACTTACAATATATTTAAAATATAATTTATTTTAATCAATAATATAAAGTGATAAGAATGATATACAATATATTACTAAAATTTAATTTATGATTTTGAAGTTAAAATTAATATATTTAATAAATAATAAAAAATAATATTATAATAATATTACAATTAAATTTTCATGTATTGTTACATTATATTGTTATATTAGAAAGAAAACAATGCATATCATATTACTAATGATATTTTAGATAAAATAAAATAATTATACTACATAATCAAACAAAGTAAATATAATATTCTATCCGTCCAAATATAATAGTTTTATTTATCACTTTTTTTTGTCCCAAAATAATAGTTTCATTTCCATAAATAATTATATCACCGTAAAATTATCTCTACTTTTTCATTATTATTACAGCCACTATTTTTAACAATAATATAGTCACAAGGGCAAAAAAGTCACTTAACTTTACTTTTTACCGACTACAAATATAATATCAATATTCCTTAAATTCAGTGTTCAACACAATAAGACTATACTTTTGGGACGGAGAGAGTATAATTTTATCAAATATTTAATCATATTGAGAATATTTTTAAAATTTTAGTTAGAAATTAAAATAATAATAATAAGAGTAACAATAATAACAATGACAATTATTATAAATAAATATTAAATAAAAAATACTCTTTGTTTTATTAATTTTGACAAAATTAATAATAAGATAAATTTAACAAAGATACTTTAAAAAAAATAGTATTTTACTCTTAATTGTCTTTTAACAATTTATCTATTTTTTAAATTTGCTTCATTCCATAATAAACTATATTAATTTCATTTTTAAATAACTGTATTTTCTACTAATATTAAAAATACCTTACCACTTACAATATATTATATAAATTTCATTATATTTATATATCAAAATATTAATAGGGTTAATTTAATCTTTTCTATTTTATTCATACTGCACCTTAATATAATATTTATATTCCTAAAACTCCGTGCAAAAAACAAACGCAATACATAGATAAGGAACGAAAGTGGTACTCCCTCCGTCCCTTAACAATCTATCAATTTTTTTATTTTGGTCCGTCCTACAATAAAATATTCATTTCTTTTTTAAGTAGTTGTATTATCTACTTGACATTACAAATATCTTTTCAATTTACAATATATTACACAAGTGTCATTACCTTTATATCATACAATACTAATAGGATTAATTTAGTCTTTTTACTTTTATTTCTACTTTATCCCAATATAATACTAATATTTCTAAAATTATATGAAAAAACAAATGGATATATAGATATGAGACCGATGGAGTATTAATTAATAAAAATAGTATAAAATTATTTTGATATTTTTTTATATACAAATTAATTATATGTAAGCATATATTTGTAATTTAAATAAAAATCAACGTAAAAATAAATAATTTTAATAGAACAGATAAAAAATAATATTTTATTGAAATAAAAACAATATTCTATATAATTTATTCCTATTAATTATTTGTCCGTTTTACATAACTTGATAGTTTCTTTTTTGGAAATATAATTATACATTTTAATCAAATTTTAAATTTTAAATTTTATAATTTTTTATAATTTTAATTAAATTATTTAGTTATGTTAATCTTAATTATATAGAAAAAAAAAAAGAAAACATTAATATTTAATTTGATGTTTAATGGAAAATATATATATATTTAATATAATATTTTTTATAAAATAAAAAAATATGCTGCGCAAACGAAGTGTAATTATTTTAAGGTAAAATTGTTTATAACTCTCGTGTGGTTTCAAAATTCAGCTTAAAATTTCAAATGTACTTTAAAAATTGCATAGTACCCCCTTATATTTTAAAAAACGTTACATAAAACCCCACCACCATGAAACTTTCCTCGTATGATAAGAAGATGATTTCCTATCTATATGTTTTGCGTGGCAGAGGGATTTTATGCGATATTTTTTTAAAGTATAAATAAACATCATGCAATTTTTTAAAATAAAATGAGAATTTATACTGAATTTCGAAATCACAAAGTGATTTCATGCAATATTTTTTAAAATATAAGAAAATGTTATGTAATTTTTAAAATAGAGGAGGAATTTACGCTGAGTTTTGAAACCACAAGGGAGTTATAGACAATCCTTATTTTAAAAATAATAATAATAAACAAGAAAAAAACGTATAAAGGGCTAACCAAATGCGTTCCAGGTTTACTACTATTCCTGAGTACCGCGTTTCCTTATTTAACCTTTTCAACTCTTCTTTCTCACTGGTCAAACTTATCCCCGCCTCTATATATATTCTCCATATGTATCTCCATGTCGTCTTCATCCTCTCTTCATCTCTCTCTCTGCATCTCCAAAATTTCGAACAGAGAAGAAGAAGAAAGATTTTTCTAATCGATTTTTGATTTTGACCTCTTCAATGACCGGCGGCTCTTTGTTTTCCAGCAAGGCATCTTCTCCCTCGCACCACCACCGCCGCCAAGTCTCTCCGCCGCGCCACACCTTCTCGGAGTCGATTATGGACGAGAACATCGAGTTCGCCGAAGAAGTCGTCCGGAGATGGGACGTAGATGCTCCCAAAAAACACGACAACTTTGAATCTATGTTCGTCGATGACCGGCGAGAGGCCAAGAGGTTCCTCGACGCGGTTACCGGATTGCAGAGCTCGATGCACTATTTCGTCGGCGTAAACCCTAACTCCGCCAAACTCGTCCGAGCTCAGACTCTGATGAAAATTGCTATCAAGAGGCTCCAGAAGGAGTTTTACGTGATTTTATCCGCCAATCGGAAGAATCTCGACTCTGAATCCGTCTCCACCCGCTCCTCTAGAGCTTCTCTCAGATCTAGCGTCTCCGATTTCTACGAAGACGATGTTTCCGAGGAGGATGATCAGAATACGACGCCGTCTCGAACGCCGCCACGCACTCCGCCGCGCACTCCGCCGAGAGAGGATAATTTTTCCTTGGAAGCGGACACTGCTGTGGCGGATTTGAAGAACATCGCCGATTGTATGATCTCCACCGGCTACGCGAAGGAATGCGTCAGGATTTACAATCTCGTCAGGAAATCGATCGTCGACGAGGCTCTGTACTATCTAGGAGTCGAGAAATTGAACAGTTCTCAGATGCAGAAAATGGAATGGAACATTCTAGAACAAAAAATCAAGACCTGGCTCCACGCCGTGAGAGTCGCTGTGAAAACTCTCTTCTACGGAGAAAGGATTCTCTGCAACCTCATCTTCGCCGCGTCGGAGAAGATCGCCGAATCCTGTTTCGCCGAGATCTCCAGAGACGCCGCCGTGAAGCTGTTTAGCTTCCCGGAGAATTTCGGCAAGAGCAAGAAGATTCACTCGCCGGAGAAGATCTTCCGCGCGCTCGATCAGTACGAGTCGATCTCCGACCTATGGCCGGAGATCGAATCGATTTTCTCCTACGATTCGCTCTCGGCGGTGCGGTCGGAGGCGGTGGCGGCGCTGTTGAAGCTCGGCGAAGCCGTGAGGACTATGTTGATCCAGTTCGAGGCGGCGATTCAGAAGGACTCGTCGAAAACACCGACCGCCGGCGGCGTGCATCCGCTCACTCGGTACGTGATGAATTTCCTCGTTTTCCTCGCCGATTACAGCGGCTCCGTCTCCGACATAGTCTCCGACTGGCCGGTGAACGCGCAGACGCCTCTACCAGAATCGTACTTCTCCAGCCCCACCGCCGGCGGCGGCGAGGACCCATCGGCGGCCGCCATAACCGCCAGGTTCGCGTGGCTGATCCTCGTCCTCCTCTGCAAACTCGACGGCAAGGCGGTGCTATACAACGACGTCGCATTGTCGTACCTATTCTTAGCTAACAATCTAAACTACGTCGTTTCGAAGGTCCGGAACTCCAGCCTGGGTCTTCTAATGGGGCCCGAATGGATCTGGGCCAACCGATCCAAAGTGAACCGTTACTTAGCCAATTACGAAAGAATGGGATGGAGCAAAGCGATCTCAGCCCTTCCTGAAGATCCAACGGCTGAGATCTCTCCGTCGGAAGCAAAGGAATGTTTTAGAAGCTTCTACTCGGGCTTTGAGGAAGCGTACAAGAAGCAAACCTCATGGGTCATACCCGACCCGAAACTGAGAGATGCCGTGAAAATCGATCTCGCCAAAAAAATCGTGCCGAATTATCGTGAGTTTTACCAAAAGAACAGGGCGCAGTGCACCGGGGATATGGGAATGGGGCCAATTGTCAGATATGCCCCCGAGGATTTGGATAATTACTTGTCGGACTTGTTTTTTCCCAACGGCGAGTCCAGCACTACGACGTCGTATTCGCACTCCACTGTGTCGTCCCGTGGCCGCTGATCAAATTCCTTTATTTGATGTTTTATTGTTGTAGAATTAATATTATTAAATGTGATTATGTGTATAGTTTATTTATTTATTTATTTTGGTATCTCTCTATATGTATATTTAAATCTTTCTTGGTTCTGTTTTCTACAGACTGTTCTTAAGATTATATTAATTGGAGTTCTAAAAATTAATTGAATAATTGGTGCTGTTCTTTGTTTGATCCAAGGATTTCAAATAATTTTTACTATTTATTAATTTTTTAAAAAATATTAAATTAAATATTTATTTTATAGTATATTAAAAAATAATTTTACATTTAAAATAGGACAATTTTAACACCTATTTATATCATCCTCTCTATTTTATTTTTATTATTTTTTAATTATTTCTTTTTATAACAATGACATTCTTTTTATGAATATGACCACAATTATAAATAATGCAACAAAAGTACAAAACTATTAAATAAAGTTTTAAATTATTATATTTTAGAAAATTATCAATTTTTTTTTTCAAAATAATTTATCATGTAATTTATTTTCCAAAAATGCTACATTCACTTATCATCTCAAAAAACACACACCAATTAGAGTAATCATTTTTTACTTTTTTTTTTTTAAACTCTCTTTATTGAAAAAAAAAAAAACATACTGAATACTTATTTTTTTTTCATATAAAAAATATATCTATAAGTATTTTCTTTTCAAAAATGAAATATCCAAAATCCAAATATAAATATCCTAAATTAAACTTTTATTAATATCACATCATCATACAAACTAAGCTTTGAATTCATCTCACATACATAATAACCACATCAAGTTATAGACAAAAAAAAAAAAAAAAAAGAAGACAGGGTATGTACATGTGGGCTGGCTGCTTATTACCACCTAGGAAGGAATCCAAGAATGAGTCACAACCATTGCATTGTATAGTATTATAATAGTTGCAAAATATTATTGAGATTGATGTTTGACCTAATCACACCAATGAGTGGTCCAAACATTGTCTTTATCAACCTAAATTAATTACACCATCCGTCCCACATAATTTGTTCCTATTTTTTATTTTCATCCGTCCTACATAACTTGTCTTTCCTATTTTTAGAAATATAATTATGTACTTTAATCGCATTTTAAATTTTAAATTTTATAATTTTCTTAATTTTAATTAAACTATTTACTTATCTTTAATCTTAATCTATGATTATTTTTACTAATACACTTCTTAATTACTTACTAATTATACTTTACCTAAATTCTCGTGTCTACGGTAATACACCCATATCAGATGGGACGGAGGGAGTAATTCATTTCATTGGGTTTATATTAACGGTGTGTGTTTGTGGTTTTTTTTTTTAATTTTTTTTCAAGTTTGAATAGTAAAATTTTGAATTGAAATAGTTGTTTGATTTGATATAAATATGTATTGACGTGATGTTTTGAATGTAAAAAATTAAATTTAAGTGTAATAAAATAATAAAAAATAAATGTTTGATTTAATATTTTTTTAAAAAAAAATTAAAATAATAAAATCAGACATAAAATCTCACAATTAAACAAAGTCTGTATAATTTTGGGGTGGGTTTCACTATGGAAGTATTGGGCCAAAAGGGTTTGATCAAGATTGACGCAATTCTTACTAGTTAGTTATTAATAATTGTTTGCTTCGAAAACAATTTATGTCGAGACAAAAGAGTAATTGCGCAGACACGGCCGTGTTGACTCTATTACGGCCATGGATGCAAGCAAGTGCAACAACACATGGTGGACCTATACATGGCTAATATATGTTAAAAAGTGGGGGCTCAAAAGTTTTGGTCCCCTTAGCTATTTTAACTTTTTTTTATTATATTTATTAATATTTTTTATTATAAGTATTTTTTTTTTAAAGTAAGCTATAAATTTAAAGTTTTGAATAATTGACCTTTTCTATTAATTTATAAAAAATATTATTATTACACATGTTTAGTTTAATTATTCAAATATTTTCATTATAAATTCGTGAAATTTGAACATTTGTATATTTTTATAATTTTAATCATATTACGTATTTTAAAATATAATATATTTCTTTTGTCAATTTGGTAAGTATATATTTTATCATTTTTGTAATCCGAATAATTTTTTAATATGTATGAATTTAATTGCACATTACAAATATTTTTATATTTATACATATTTATATCAATATTCTCACATTAATTTTTATACATTATATGAGTAAAATAGTCTTAATATATTAAAACTATCATAAATTATTATTAAAATACAATATTTATTAAATTCTGTATAAAAAAATAAATATTTACTTTGTATATAGATCAAGCATATTCATATGCAAATGCAACTTTCCTTAGGGCAACACATTCAAACACGGTGGCTAAAATGATTTGAACTACAAACTACCAATTATTTTAAATTCTTATCCCGATGTAATACAAAATTACATGTAATTTACTTACGATTTGTATTTTCTTCTACGTGTTTCTTGCAAGAAAAGAATTATAATTGACTTGATTATATGTTTGATTGTAATTTGTATTTTGAAGATATTACGATATGTTTGTTTGAAAGATTTTGAAAATTTTATACTCTCTCCATTCCACCACATATCATCTTTTTTTTTCTTTTTGGTTCATCCCATAAGAGATGATTCATTTCTATTTTTAATAAATTTATTAATTTTAAACATACTTGACAAATATAAATCAATTTAATTAAATTTTTGATTTCTTACAAGTATGGTTAAGGTCAAATTATCTAAACATGCATCAAAATTATCACCATACACACTAAAATCATTCATGAATACTTCAATGCTTTAACCGATATATTTTGAAAAATACTTTGCATGCATCGTTGAAAAGTAGCTAAAGCATTACATAGATCAAATGACATTCGCCTATATGTGAATGTGCCAAGCATGTAAATGCGTCTTCTGTATGGAAATTTGGAAATATCCTGAAAATCTATCTAGAAAACAATAGTGAGATTTTCCTGCTAATCGCTCAATCATCTGATCAATAAAAGGTAAGGGAAAGTAATCATTTTTCGTGACGGCGTTCAACTTACGATAGTCGATACATTGGCGCCATCCAGTTTGCTTCCGAACATGAATGAACTTACCATCATTGTCCGCTTCAACTGTAACTCTTGCTTTTTGGGAACAACATGAATTGGACTTACCCATGGACTATTTGCAATAGTATAAATAATCTCGGAATCCAATAGTTTTAAAATCTCTTTCTTTACTACTTCCATCATCACATGATTCAATCGCCTTTGAGATTGTCTTACTGCAAAGCATCTCCTCCAACATGATGCGATGTGTGCAAAGGAAGGGGTTGATGCCCTTTATGTCGGCTATGGTCCAACCAATAGCTTTTTTGTGCTCTCTTAACACTCGAATCAATCGTTCCTCTTGGATTTAAGAGAGGTAAGTTGATATGATAATAAGCAATGCTTTTTTTTTTTTTTTTCTCCCAGAAAAGCATATTTTAGTTTATCATGAAATGGCTTTATCTTTAGATCCAGAGCATGCAAAACATAGGGCAACAATTTTTGTTTAGATTCAGTTAAAGGTAATGTTTCTTGTTCTAACATGGTCGTCTTGAATTCTGAAAATTGCAGTGTGTACATTGCTTCTCGTAGCCTTAAATTCACCAATTTTTCTTCACTAAGTTGGGGATCAAGGTGGTATGCCAAAACAGTCTCCAGAGCGTCTCCTCCACTTAGTTAAAAAAATTTCCTACACATTCTCATCAATGACATCTACTTTACACAAATCGTTAGATTCTCCAAGGTATTTCATAGCATAAAAAAATATTAAATTGCACTTTCTCCCTATCAAACTCCATAGAAAGCATACTCTACTTAACATCTATTTTAGTTTGCGCAGTGCACATAAACGACCTACCAAGCAATATTGGTGAATGATTTGGAGAATTATCATAATGCATGTTAAGCACAAAAAAAATCTACTGAAAAAAATTAATTCATTAACTTGCACTAGGACATCTTCAATCATTCCTTCAGGGTAAACATTAGTCCTATCGGCTAGTTGTATAATAATCGTAGTTTCTTTTAAGGGCCCAAAATTCAGATATCTATAAATAGATTGAGGCATCACATTGATTGCGGTTCCTAATTCTAACATTGCTCACTTAATCTCCAATTTACCTATCTTACAAGGGACCGAGAACATACCTGGATCACCACATTTATGAGGGAGCTTACGTTGTAAAACAACATATACGCTCTAACCATCAATAATACATTCGCCTCTTTGTAGTCTCTTTTTGTTAATGCAAAGTTCCTTCAAAAATTTGGCGTACTTTGGTACCTGTTTGGTAGCATCTAGCAACGGTACGTTCAACTCCACCTTTCTGAACATCTCCATAATCTCTTTATTTTTATCACTCTTCTTCGGTTGTTTTAACCTGTAAAGGAAATGGTGCGGCGTTAGTCTTAGGATAAGTTACATTGTTTGTTTTTTCATGAGCAGCTTTCTTTATCTCTCTTTCGATCTCATCTTTATCCTTGTCCTTTGGAATTCCAACTTTAGGTCATTCTAATTCCTTTCTGCTTCGTAAAACCATTGAACTCACATTCTTTGGATTAGCGTCAGGTTGTGCAGACAATTTACCTTTCTCCATTGACTTCATCTCGCGCATCTTATTTGCTATTTGACTTACTTGTTCTTCCAAGCTCTTTTATGTTGTTCTGAGTCTCCTATTGAAATTGCAGCACGTTAGACACCATAGTTTTCATCATTTTCTGTAAAGAATTATTTGGAACCGCTTGAGGAGGTTGTTGATGGTGATTGAGTGGACAGAATCCTTGTGAAGGGCCTCCGACGTGTGCTTGTTGATTTTCATATTTCAAATTAGGGTGATCCCTCCATCTTGGATTATAAGTGTTTTGAGAAGGGATTGTATGCTCTAGGTGCGAATCTTGCAGCATTGACATCCATTTCTTGAGTCATAGTGGGACATATATCAGTAGGGTGTTCCGTGCTAGTGCATATTCCACACACCTTAAATTGTGCATTCCCTATAGCCATATGTCGAACAACTGAAGTTAACTTGCTTAATTATTTTTGTAGAGTACTTGCCTCATTTGCCTCTTTTACTGCCA